CTGTGCAATGTACTCTCCAAGATAGATCATACACTAAAAAAGAAAGAAAATCTCAGTTATGCTTTCTTCTACAAAAATCATCTCAGTAGAGTTTACTTTCCATTGTTTCAGTAATTTTCAAACCTGCTTTGTGTTTGTGTGGGCACGCACACACATTTTTCAATGCAATATAAACAAACAACAAAGGAACACCATAAAGACAGTTATGGGTCGCTATCATAATTCATTAAGCAAGACAAAAGGGTCCTGAAATATTTTTTAAAAATCAATAAAGGACTAATATGAATCCAAAGTATAAGAAAATCACAGAATAAATTTAAAAAGGAAAAACAAACATTATGATTAGGTAAGTAAAACAATCAGGAAAAATATAGTGAGTTTATAGCCTCCAACAGGAACAATGGGCTTATTATTAATTATGCTTATTATTTAATCCTACCGTAGTTTTAACTGCTTCATATTTATGTATGGCTTTATTAGCTATTGCATTTTATTTGAATAGTGACCACTCCATGAGGAAGAAAGGAGGTTTTAAAATGTGATATATAAATAAATAAAAATAAAAATCTGGCCTATCACATGAAAGCAGCCATACATTAGAATGTTTATTTCAAAAAAAAGTAATGTAATCTGAAAACCGAAAGAATTTCCACCAGACCTTTGTTATATTAGATCAGGGGTAGTCAACCTTTTTATACCTACCGTCCACTTTTGTATCTCTGTTAGTAATAAAATTTTCTAACCGCCCACCGGTTCCACAGTAATGTTGATTTATAAAGTAGGGAAGTAACTTTACTTTATAAAATTTATAAAGCAGAGTTACAGCAAACTCCTACTGCCCATCATGAAAGCTATAACGCCCACTAGTGGCGTAGGGACCAGGTTGACTACCACTGTATTAGATTATAGGTAAAGGTAAATGTTCCCCTTGCATATATGTGCTAGTTGTTCCCAACTCTGGGGGCGGTGCTCATCTCCGTTTCAAAGCCTAAGAGCCAGCGCTGTCCAAAGAAGTCTCCGTGGTCATGTGGCTGGCATGACTAAACGCCGAAGGCGCACAGAACGCTGTTACCTTCTCACCAAAGGTGGTCCCTATTTTTCTACTTGCATTTTTACGTGCTTTCGAACTGCTAGGTTGGCAGAAATATTAGATTATTCTCTCATACAAATTATGTAGACTGCCACCTTTGTCTGCATAAGATTGGATGCATTTAGATGGTCTTTCCCAGGCAGCTAAAGGATCCAACCATATCTAGAAGAGACTTAAAATGTTCCCCAAAAATCTAGTGGGCATCTCTGCCCTGTGTTTTGTGAACTGGAAAGACCTTGAACAAGATTGCATTATCCTTCTGCCTTATACCCTCCAAGAAAGTGGATAGAGTACTCTCTAAGTTATCCATCACTGCCTTTGGGCTTGACCTATGCCTATCCAGACTCATGCAAGTAGATTGTGGATCACATGGATCTGGATGACTGTCAATATTCCTTAGAAATAGATTGTGGTAAATCCCCTAAAATTATCTCTAGTTCTGATAGTGTTATATAATTATTGCCCCGTCTCCAACCTTCCCTTTTTTGGTATTGGTGAATCCAATATAAATATGAAGCAGGCTATCTGGAACCTTTTCAGTTAGGCCTAAGCATGGAATTAAGATAGTACTTGTGACTCTTATAAATGACCACTAATAGGACCTGGCAGGAGGACTGTGCCTCTTGGGATGCTTTTAGATCTCTCAGTGGCTTTTGTCATTATCCACCACAATATCTTACAGGATTGAATTATGGGGATAAGGACTGGAAGGACTGTTTTGCAGTAATTCTGTTCCTTAGTCAATTGTGAGGAAGAAAGCCATCCTAATGGTCCCTACAATGCAATACAGAGGTCAGTCTCTCCTTTTTAACATCTCTATGATGATGTTAGATAAAGTTAACTATTACTTTGGGAATAGTGTTGTTAGTATACCTAAGGGGGGGGGGGCATTATCCTCTTATCCTGGTGCCTGAAGGCTGTCGGGATCTGGATGGGATAGACCTACCTAAAGCTGAACCCAAACAAGACACTATTTGTCCATTGAGGTTCTCCATCTATACCAATCTTATCTCTGGATGGTCAGGCTCTACCTCTTGAAAACAGGTCCTGCTGATACAACAAATGAAGATGTACCTAGAAGGCCTTTTGCTCAACTTTGGCTTGTGTACCAAGTTGCAAATCTTAGTTTGCAGAAGACGACATCCTCAATACCGCCCAGTTAAACTATGGCAATGCAATTTACATGAAGCTGCCTGTAAAAGCTACTTAAAACCTGCAATTAACCCAAAATGCACCAGCCTGTGTGCTAACTAGTTCATGTTGTTGGGAACATATTCCCCCAATATTGTGGGCTCTGCAGTAGCTTTCACTTAATTACCACCCTGATGCAATTTAAAGTACTAATTGCTAGTTTTGACCTTTATGGTTTGGCATCATGTTACCTACTCTAACTAAATTGTCTGCTCTAACATCTATGCAAAATTGCAGATTCTCAATTATCCAGGTCATGGATGTCTCAATGGTGCTTTTCAAAATGCAACTGGACTTGTTTCTTGGATGTGAGGCAAAATGTTTTCAAAGAAAGCCCAGTTGCCTTTTGAAAAGCACCACTGGGACATGCCTTCTTTAACCTGTATCAGTCTCACCTATTAGATCACATAGAGAAAAACTACTCTTGGTGCCCTAAAAAAAAAACCCAATACCCTTTTTATGACCCTGTAGTCCCTGTTTGGGATATCAGAAAATAAAAGTGGCTGTGCTCTATAGCCACAATGTCAATCTTCTTAAAGGCTTGCTATAGAAATCACTCCTGCATATCTCCAAGCACATTCAGGATGATGGTAAAGGCAGAGCTAATCTGGAAAGCATTTCTACTTGTTTTGGAGTCATCTCCATGTAAACTGCATTGCCGTAGTTTAACTGGGTGGTATTGAGGATGTCTTCTTGTGCAAACTAGGGTTTGCAACTTGGTACACCAGCCAAAGTTGAGCAAAAGTCCCTCTAGGTACATTTTTGTTTTATTCTTATTTCACTCTCAGAAACTTTTCTTTTATGTATTTAAGCTTACTTAAATGTTTTAAATTTGTTTTCTGTCATATAAATCATGGAGAATCAAACTAATAGTCTCTAAGTGCAAATTAAATAATAAAACATAACAAGGTAGGCTGTAGTCTAGCGCATAACCTGTAAGAGGAGCACATTTTTCAAGCTGTTTATTATGCATAGAATTTAATACCCCTTTCATGACAGCAGCAGCAAAAAAAAATTTCAGGAGAAAAAAACCAAAATGAAGAAAGCTGGCAGTGCTTCTAGCTATTATAGAGAACAGGTTCTCACTGCGCTAAATGTAGGCTGCTATGGCAAATTAACATTTTAACATGGAAACTCATTCATTTGAAGCATTGGATTTGTTTTTTGCAAAAATATTGGAAGCTAAATAAGTTATTTAAATGCATAAGTATTTAAAATAAGTCAAACAACTCTGCAGGAATATCTGACACATTCCTAATGAAAAGCCACAGCATTTAATTCCTAGCTGACAGAATAACCCTATAAATCACAGCCTGTGTCATTTTTCTAATATGTACACACTTTGCATTTTAAACTTAAAAGAAATGATTTTATAGGATGTTTCCAGTTTAGCTGACATGACTTTTCCAATAGAGAAGAAATAAAAAGCATAATTTAAAAACATTCAAGCATTAATTGGTCGCCAACATCTTACACCTAGCAAGTGCAAACAAGTTTAAGCTTACTTAAACTTAAATGCTCCAGCCCTATGGAATGAGCTGCCCCCAGAGATACAGGCCCCACCTACTCTCATGGCCTTCCGCGAAGCTATTAAAACCTGGCTTTTCCGCCCCTCTCTGATTGGGTGTATGTTGTGCTTTTTCTTAACTTTGTTGTGTCTCATTGTTTTAATTCTTTTTTAATAATTTTTCATTTCTGTAAGCCGCCCGGAGTCTTCGGGATTGGGCGGCCTAGAAATTCAATAAATGAAATGAAATGAAATGAAGTTACCAAGCACCCAGATCACAATGTTATGGATGGGGGTAGGGTGGCTGCAATATTTGCAATGATTGGAAATGCTTTATAGCAGGGATGTCAATCATGTGACATATTGTGACTTTTTTCCCCTCACTAAACCAGGGGTGGGCGTGGCCAGCGCATGACACATCCGGCCTGCGGATCATAAGTATAGCACCTCTGCTTTATAGGCTGTAAAGCACCCTTTCCCAAACCACTTATAATTCAAATCATTGTTAAACAAATAAGTCAAGGACTACCTGTACATTTTCTTCTTTCTCTTCCACTTGTCAGGACTACTAGTTTTACTCTAGAAAAGGAATGTCAAACTCCCGGCCCACCAACCACGCCCTATTTTAAGGAAAGGGAAAAGTCACGATATGTCACATGATGACAATGTGACGGTGCAGGTTTGACAACCCTGCTCTAGAAGCATACCCAGCATTAAAACTTTGCAGCCACATTACATGGAATAAGAATATGGATATAGACTTGGTCTGTAATGGATGCCATTAAAAAGCAAATTAGGACACATTTCTTTCTTAATTCAAATTTAGATAACCTGACTTTCCAGGGTAGAATTGTGTGCATAGGAACTCACCTCTTTTAACGTAAAAGTTTCACCCTTAGCACCTGCTGCATGCAGAACTTTCAGCAGTGGCAATTTTGGTCGTACCTATGATAAACCAAATGGATTTTTTTTTAGACATGTTGTAGAAAGCTGGACAAATCAATATAAAAAAACTACTTCCCACAGGTTACAAATTTAAAGCTTTAAAAACCCTAATTCCAGGTAAGTTTCACGGCATCAAGCTAGCAGAGGAAAAAAAATACAACTATTTCACAGAATCGCAGCAATGCTAACTTTTCCCTCTTTTACCAGATTACAGTCTTCAATTGAAAAATGAAATTATATTACCTGTTTAACTGGTTCAAGTGATGATCTGCAGGCATTCTCAGATGGCCGAAATTGTGCCGAGGTAGATGTCATTTTGGCAGTATAGTAGCTGTCAGTATTAGAAGCCTAAAATAGAAATCAGGTTTACTTCATAGATTTATACTCACTTCTCCTCCAGCTGATATACACATGTGCCAACTGATATACACAGAATTTTCTCCTCCAGTATTTTGCCACACTTTGTGAGATAGGTGGGTAGGTGGGTTAAGACAAAGAGTCACCAACCCAAAACATCCAGCGAACTACCATAGCTGAGACTGAACTTGAACACCTATTCAGTGTTACTCTCACATAAGATTAAACATTATTTTCAGAAGCCTTTGAGGCCAATTTGATATACATCACATACGGATAACACCAGAAATGCATTAATGACTACCATGCCAATCATATTATCTTTTAATTTCGGTTATCCTAAGCTTGAAAGAAAACCCTGCAATGCCCACCTTATTAAATCTCTCAGAGAGGTACCTTTTTAAAAGTGTTGTTCCTTGCAATGTTCTTCAAACTGCTTGAAGCAAAAGAGAACAAATTGTGCTCTTTGACATGTTGAGACAAGTAGCTAACTTGTTAATGTGACTCATGGGATGTGAGCGTTGCTGACTCATTCAACCACTACAGGAAATTCTTCCTCCAAAGTTTACTCAGCAAACAATGATGAGACCACTATCTGCCCCTATTAATTAAAAACTGATGGCAAATACATTTTATGCCACCATAATGCTTGAGAAAACTAAATATATAGTTTTCAAGTCAGAAAGACCCATTTAATTTTCACTAAGTTCAAGCAATGAAAAAGAAAACATCTCTAAACTTCCAATTTTTATTTTAGGATTACTGCAGTATCAAATTCAGTAGCACCAAACACATTTTAAATCATGGCAAAGTTTTGTGTATTGTATTATATACCATTCCATAATATTATAAAGATGTAATCTTATGTCTTTTCGAACACAAAGAACATTAAGATTATAAAATCAAAGTATGCATAAAAAATAAAATTTAAAGCAGCCTCAACATTAAAAACAAAACAAAGCCAAAATTAAAACAGGGAAGCCCAGGCTACAAAGCAGTCTGCCATAAAGTATGGGGAGGAGGGGGGATGCAGGGATAGGGATGACAGGAACCAGAACTGCCAACCAGAGTCAACAATTGAACAATCCAAGGACAGAGACATGGGAATGGAATGTGAAACCAAAGAGGCGCCAAAGCTTAGGACTGTTAGCAAAACAACTAATTTGATCTTTATGGGTTCAGAATTTTCAGTTTTAAAATGCTTAAATGAGCAGTAAAATATTCCCAAGAACAAAAAGCAACAATAGCAACAATGCCATTTTGGGAATGTTATTTAAAAGAATAAGGCCTCCCTTTTGAGTTGAAACTCAAAAAATTAGAATATGGTGTAAAAGTTCATTTATTTCAGTAATGCAACTTAAAAGGTGAAACTAATATATGA